TAATTCTATTACAACAGTTTCCTTGGACTATGGAACTAAGCATAGATACCTCCAGAAAAGAGGTCAAAAGAAAAGGGATGAACTTAGGAAGTATAATGCTAAGTGAAGCAAGTCAGTTAGAAAAAGGCAAATACCATATTATTTCACTCATATGTGGAATTTAATAAACAAAACAAAGGAGCATGGGGGAAAGAGAGAGAGAGAGAGAGAGAATGAGACAGAGAGAGAGAGAGAAGCCAAAAAACAGATGCTAAACTATTAAGAAAAAACTGATGGTTACCAGAAGCGAGGTGGGGGGGGGGGGGGAGGATGGTTGAAACAGGTGGTGAAGATTAAGGAGTATAATGGGGCACCTGGGTGGTTCAGTCAGTTAAGTGTCCAACTTAGGCTCAGGTCATGATCTCAGAGCTCGTGAGTTTGAGCCCCAGGTCAGGCTCTGTACTAACAGCTCAGAGCTTAGAGCCTGCCCTGGATTCTGTGTCTCTCCCTCTCTCTGTCCCTCCCATGTTCATGCTGTCTCCTTCAGTCTCTCAATAATGAATAAACTTAAAAAAAAAGATTAAGGAGTATAATTGTCATGATGAGCACTGGATGATGTATAGAATTGTTGACTCGCTATATTGTACACTTGAAACTAATATAACACTGTATATTAACTATACTGGAATTAAATTTTTTAAACTTAAAAAGAAGAGGGATTTTAAAAGCATAAATTTGGGGTTTTTATTCAATAATGCCATATCCACCTGTCCAAACATGTGTTTTATTTGGGAGTAGATAGGCCAGTTTGATCATCAGGAAATTCCAAAAGCATGTAGTTGTGGATTTGTTAAAATGTACATGCAGAGATTTGGGAAAGCGGCTTGATGTATTTTTCTCATGCGGGTCTTCTTTCTTTATTGTGGGAAAGCGGTGAATAATCCAGGGTCACTGAAAACCAAGTGAAGTATCAGCATACTTTGAACGAAGGCTAACAGTAATAATAATGTACATGTCAAAATGCCACTAGGATGAAGAAAACATTTCAAATGATGTACATATTGAAAAGTAATTGCCAAATATTTAGGTTAGGAAAACAGTATCAATTTGTATGAATGACTGAAAACCAAAGAAGGATGGCAAACTAGTTCCCACTTGGCTTGGTTTATTCTACTTTATAGAATTATCTCTTTAGTTCCCTTATCTATAAAATTGGAATAAAACCTGCCCTATCCATTTCATATCTGGGTTAGAGAATTTTGAAAACCACAAAATGTCTATAAAAATTGAAGTCATTGAATTATTTATACTATTTATCTTTGCATCCTTTGTGGTTTAGCATGCAACTCTACCTTATATTGGCTGTCCATCAATTTTTAGTTGAACAATAATTGTTTATCTAAGAGTTTTGCATACCTGTAATACAAGGGTTTGAAATTTTTAAAAAACACTAAATGAATAAAAAGCACCAACTTTCCAAGGGAAGAAAAACATTGAAGCACAGCAAGGATAAATTTTTAGAATGGGAAGAGAACTAAAGGAAGGAAAAATCCACTTCCTACTTACGGCTATACCTGAGTTTAAGTAAAACACACTTGTAAAAGAATATTTCTTAAAGGATTCTTACGACAGACATATGTCTAGAATGGTTTTCAAAATTAGAAATGTAGGGCTTCAAAATATCAGGAAATCATTTTTTATGTACATTTTCAGCTAAATGTAACCTTTTTATTTCTGGGTATTAAAAATATATATCAGCTTGGAGATTAAACATACTGCTGATGTACTAATGGAATAAACTAAAAAATCTAAGTGTTAAGTGAATATTCTTTTGAAATTTCTAAAATATTGGTAACATTAAAAATATGTATCTTATTTCAGGAAAAATAATCATTCCACACAAACTTTAAAAGTAAATATAAATGGATCACAAACTAGGAAATATAAGACATCTCTACTCATTTTGACAACATAAAACAATTAATTCATGTCAGTAATCTACTAAAGAAGAATTATAACACCTTTTTCTTCTAGCCTGGACACAGTTGGGAGAAGTAAGGGACTAGATGATGAATATGGTATCAAATATCTTTTATCAGTGAGCTGTTACATAATACTTACCAAATGTGAACATTGTCTTGAGAAACGGAAAAATTAATTCTAACTAAACTAGACATATTAAAATTATACTAACTATAATTTAGTCTTGTCAATAATATGCTGGACACATACAGGAAGTTTGGGAAGCAATTTAATTAACTCTGCTTGTTTTAACTGAAGAAAAGAGATCAGATGACCATGAAAGTCTAAAGCTGTGATAAGTGAGATGAAGTAGATCGGTTGTTTAAATCAGTCAATCACAAAACAGCATCAGGCAACATAAGCAATACCTAAGTTCAAATTTAAAGAACACTGTTTAAAGAATCTCTGCATCACAGAGCAATCTCTGCAACATTCCATTATTAAACAAAAAAGAGACAGCTGCAAAAAAACACACATCTGCCAGCATCACACTGGAATAGGCAACTACATCCCCTCAAATCCTATATTTTAAACCAGTAAACAAAGATATAAATTTATATGTTTAGTGTTTCTTATCACCCACATCATTTAACTGACACAAAATGAGTACCTGAACCATTGCACAGCAAATGTACTTTGTTTTAAGTTCCAATAGCTCAGGCTATAAACTAAATCAAATCCTTGGAAGTGATTCTAGGTCTCTTATTTTCCAATACTTCAGATTTCCCTTTCTAGATACTGAAGTTGACTGTCTAATTTAGATCATATTAACATCTATCACTGTATATTTTACTGCTTTTCCATTAAAACTGTAATTCTTGACTCATCTTTCATTAAAATTGGGAAGGCAAATATTTGACAATAACCCTATGTATATATCTATATTTTTATGTTGGCTACACATGTACTTATGTACACATGCACACACACAGTTGTTTTGGGTTTTTTTTTTTTTTTTGTCTTCTTCCTGTGGTGTGGGGCATGGCATTTCCTTGTTAATTTATTAATACTCAAATATACCCTTCCCCACTGCCTTTTGTATTTTCTTACACTTTATGTTTTATAAACTAGTAACATAATTACAACTATGCCTCCTAGTACACATGACCTGTAATAAAGCTTTAGATGACTTTGATAGCAGCTTACATTTAATTATACTCAAAATTAACATGTTACTAATATCAAGTAAAGTGCAAAAGCCATAATGACAACATTTTACCTCTTATTAAGCAGAAGTAAGATTATTGTTACATCATCACAACCTGAAGAGACAGTGAATTTTTACATAGACTATTTCAAATAAGAGTCTTGGAGAAACCCAATTTAAATATCTCTCCTGGTCCTATCTAAAAAAATCCTCTTATAAACTAGTATCAAGGAAAAAAAAGGACATCAAGGTTGATTTTATCAATAACTAAATAAAAAAGTATGGAGCTTTCCTTATTTTCCACTTCTTTGAGTCTACACAATACACAGATGACTTAGCATGAGGCACACTGGGTCATAAGTCTTGTTTCTGCTATTGTTACCTTGATGACCTAGTATAACAACCTCTCCAAGTCTCAAAAGACTTACCTAAATATACAATGAGGTTATTATAAAGTATTATCTCTGAGGCTCCTTACAGCTTAAACAGTCCATAATTCCATGAAAATATCAATTAAAATGATAATCATAAAATAACAAAATAAATGTGGATTTCCATCTTAGACACTTCTTGAAAACTTAAGAACACTCTTCCATAAAACTAGACCTTGGGGCACCTGGCTGGCTCAGTTGGTTGTGCGTCCAACTTCGGTTCAGGTCATGATCGCAGTGTTCCTGAGTTCAAGCCCTGTTTTGGGCTCTGTGCTTATGGCTCAGAGCCTGGAGCCTATTTCAGATTCGGTATCTCCTTCTCTGTCTCTGCCCCTCTCCCTCTCATGCTCTGTCTCTCTTTCTCTTTCTTCCAAAAATAAATAAACATTAGGAAAAAGAAAAAGAAAACTAGACCTTGTACAATGAGAGTCTAGTATATAGGCCTGACATTGAATGGCCTAATAGTTAAATGGTCTTTAAAATTGGTTAGAAACTTCTAGGTCACCTGGGTGGCACAGTCAGTTAAGCATCCTACTCTTGATTGCAGCTCAGGTCATGATCTCGCAGTTCATGAATTCAAGCCTCACATCAGGCTCTGCACTGACATTGTGGGACCTGCTTAAGATTCTCTCTCTCTCTCTCTCTCTCTCTCCCCACACACACACACGCTTGTATTCTCTCTCTCTCTCTCTCTCTCTCTCTCTCTCAAAATAAATGAATAAACTTAAAAAAAAACTAGCTAGAAACTACTGAAATAATTTAGTTATAAAACTTTTTCAATGCCAGGAAATGGATTTTAAATGATCTCAGGTTAAATATTTCTACATTAAATCTCCTTTCTACCCAAAAGTTGAGCATAACCTGATTTAGTTTAATGTAGAAGACTGTGTATTTTAGTGCTACACTTACTCATATGCTAGCAAGTAAAAATTTCATTCATTACACTAAAAATGAGTGAATTTCATGGCATGTAAATTATACCTCAATAAAGTTGTTTAAAAAAAACTTCACTGGGGCCCCCCGGGTGGCTCAGTCAGTTAAGCGTCTAACTTGATTTCAGCTCAAGTCATAATCTCACAGTTCATGAGATCAAGCTCCTCACTGGGCTCCACACTGTCAGCACAGGACCTGCTTGAGATTCTCTCTCCCTTCTCTCTCTGCCCATACCCCAGCTTGTGCTCTCTCTCTGTCTCTCAAAATAAATAAATACTTTTTTTAAAAAACCGCTTCAGTTATAAAAATTTCTAACAAGAAAACTGTCTTATATTTTAAACTGCTATTATTTTATTAATAAATGAATTTGCTTATTATTAACTTACCTGAATAAATTTATTTAAGTGACAGAAGACTTTCTCTTTTCCCATTATTCTCTTTCCTTATATTTTAAAAATGTACCTTAATGAATTAATGTGAGTACTTACTTGGCAAGAATCTGCTTCTCCCTCTTCCATTGGCTCATCAACCATTTTAAGACCATCCACCTGAAAAATATTCAAATCAAAAACCAAAGTTCAGGATTACTAGAATAAGAATAAGAACTAAGAAAAATATAACAACTAGGCATTTCCCATCACGATCTAACAAGATCCACTCTTACTGAAACACAAACTGACAAAGGACATATAAAAGGTATTTAGAAAGGGAACATTAAATATGGTTTCCAGATTATTCTTGAGAATCCTTAACTTTCAGAGCTGTAGATTTCATTCCATATTATTTAGAGCATTGCTATGATAGATTAACATATACTAACCATATGACCTTTGTGGTTTCATTAATAGTATCCCCAGCCCCACACCAAGAAGTCAATTAAAAATAGGGCGCCTGGGTGGCCCAGTAGGTTGAGCATCCGACTTCAGCTCAAGTCATGATATCATGGTTCGTGAGTTTAAGCCCTGCATCGGGCTCTGTGCTGACAGCTCAGAGCCTGGAGCCTGCTTCTGATTCTGTGTCTTCCTCTCTCTCTCTCTGCCCGTCCCCTGCTCATTCTCTGTCTCTGTCTCTCCAAAATAAATAAATGTAAAAAATATTAAAAATAGGCAGAGGATCTAAATAGACATATTTCCAAAGACATATGGAAGTTCAATAGGCACATGAAAAGATGCTCAACAGTACTAATCATCAGAAAAATGCTAGTCAAACCCACAATGAGATATCATCTCACACCAATGAGAGTGACAATTATAAAAAGACAAGAAATAACAAGCATTGATAAGGATGTGGAGAAAACAAAACCATTGTGTAGTGCTGGTGAAAATGTAAATTGGTGTAGTCACTGTGGAAAATAGTATAGAGGTTTCTCCAAAAATTCAAAGTAGAAATAGTATACAATCCAGCAATTCTACTTCTGGGTATTTACCTAAAGCAAAAAAAAAAAAAACAAAAAAAAAAAAAAAAACAAAAAAACACTGATTGGAAAAGATACATCCACTCCTATGTTCATTGCAGCATTACTTGCAATAGCCAAAATATGGAAGCAACCTAGGTATCCACTAGTAGATAAATGGATAAATAAGATGTGAGATACGTGTATGTGTATATATATATA